CTGTTCTTTCTGCTGTGTTCTGGCTGGAGGGAAAATCCAAAGAGAGGCTCAGCAGGGATGCACCAGGTGGGGAGACCAGGGCTCCCCGTCTTGTGCCGGTGTGGGGAATGGCAGAGGTGGGCATCAGCTGCATCTGAGCCAAAGACCAGGAGCTCCCAGGATTTCAGGTGCCATCCAGCCTGGGGCTGGTGACTCCTTTACAGCAGGATTGCTGGGGCCCCAACTCAGCAGCCTCTGGGGCAGGAGTGCTGGCATTTCTGTTTGCTCAATAAATAAGCAAACTCAGTCGATCTGCAGCTAAAAGGCCAGTGGAGGAGATGATGACCTCCAGGGGTGCATGGAAGCCCAGGTTCCAGCTGCAGCCCCAGGTCTTTGACCCCATCCTGGGAAGCACCCACACAAACGACTCTTCTCTGTCTCGCCGCCCACGCTCTTCCCTCAAGATCATCCAGGCAAAGTGTGCCACGCGGTGTCACTGCCACACTACTGACTTCTCTATCAAAACACAAACTCCTGAGCATGACAAACCTCTCCAGCAGGACCGTGCCTGCGGACTGGGTCTGATGGACAGTAATGGTTTTCTTCCCTAATGAGCTGTGCACACGTGCTGTGATGTGGCTGCTCCTTAGTTTTCACGAGATGCAGTGGTGCCCCAAGACTCATCAGAAGCACTCGTCCCCAGGGAGTCCTGGATGGAGCTGCTCAAGCTTCCCAGCTGCTGAAGAGCTCAGATTAAAGCAACTCCACAGACACAGTCTGTGTCAAAACACACTTAGTGGTGGTGGAGAGGAAAATCACTTGTGTTTCAGTGACTTGGAGTGCACGGCAGCATTCAGCTATTTCCCCTGATCAATCCTATGCAAATTCAAGCTTCAGTCACAGAGCATAGCTGTTAAGGATGCTGAGAGGCAGGAAGTGCTTGTTCTCGGGGATTTGCCTTTCCTCCCTGGAGTTGTTAACCACGGCATCCTGGGACCCTGGGACCGGCCGCCCCATCCTCTGCACTCCCTCCACTAACCTGCACTGCTCCCGCAGCAGGAGGGCTTCTACTCACAGATCTGCATGGGGCCACATCGGACCACTGCTTCCCATCCCTCATCCACCCCTCCGACCTCTAGTCTTAGCCGGACTGTGTCAGCCCGCTCTGGTGTGCTCCTTACGCTAGTCCCTCTGCCTGGTTTAGCTTAGAAGGCTTCCCCCACTCCTTCTTCCATCATTTCCCTGTCATTCATTCACTCAGCAAGCATCTCCCAGGCACTGACCAAGAGGTGGGCACAATGTGCTGTGTTGAAAGCAGCAGAGAGCACAACTCCCAGCAAGGGAGGAGGAGGAGGTAGTGGCAGTGCTGTTCGTGGATGGAAGTGAACAGGAGATGGACAGGAGGACGCCTTGGCACTGCAGGAAGTAGACACCGGGTCCCGTTTCCTCGCCCCTCTGGGCTGTAAGAAGCAGACTCTGTGGACAGGGAGGCCACAGGTCACACCAGACACCATTGGGCGGGCTGTGAGGGAATAGGAGAGGCTCCTAGATTATTTCTCTCCTGCTGGGAGCCTACCAGCTGAGCAGAAGGCCACCACTGTGTGTCAAGTCTGTCCAGGGCCCAGGCATTGCAGTGCTGAGAGCAGCCTCCATGTGACTCACTGGATGCTGCAGACATGGCATGGTCATCACCTCTCTTCAGTCAGAGGACCCAAGCCTGGGTCTACTTCTCCCACCCAGAGACAAAACCAGGAGCCTCCCTCGCCTGCAGTCCTGATCCCCCAAGCTATCCACAACTCAGAATCCAGGAGCCAAGCAGGAGCCGATGAGACAATGTCCTTAAATCGTTTCCTGAATAAATGTCCAGCAAAATAAAGGCCACGAGGGAGAGAACTGAATCAAGGCCTCCTCTTGGCAGGACCCACTTCAAGAAGAGCTTGTTTGCTGCCCTTTTTCTTTCAAGGCCTTGTGCCTGTGGGGGGCAAGCACCCCACACGGAGTTACATCCCAGCCTATGATTTTGAAACATTATTTTAAGATACACCATGCAGCTACAATCAGAAACGCCTGTACCTAAAGTTTTCAAGGCTAATTATCCCAGCAGTTTAAGTAACAGTGCTCACATACAGCCTTGATAGAGTTGATCTCCCCACAAGTGATTTGGAGGGTGGAAAGCTTAGCTATTTGTGAGGGCGCTAAATGTTCGAGGCGGTGGTGTGCCGATTACACTGATCTCAACAGGACACGCCGGGTACCTGTGTTGAAATGTCACGCTATGCCTCATAAATATTTTAATGATCTGTATGTCAGTTAAACTTTTTTAAATTGAATGAAAATAACATCAACAAAGGAAAAAGAAGCAATTGGCCATCAGCAGCAGCCAAATGAGATGACGATTGGCCACCAATCACAGATGATTCCACCACTATGTGCTCAGTGTCTGCTGTCCCAGAAGGAGTTGGAAAGACCTCGAGGCTCCCTGACACCCCAGCTGGGGGACAGCATCATGGGATGAGGCGGTGTTTGGCATCCTGTGGGAAAACCAAGTGGATGCCGTCCCCCAGTTTATGGAGAAGCTGCTAAAAGACAGAAGTCAGAGCTCACACTGTGACTCCAGAGGGAGAAAATGAGAAGAGAAGAAAAAATGTCAAGAATGAGTCACCCGCCGGCTTCCTCCCTGTAGAGCCCAGACCCTGGCTGCTGCAGCCCTAGAGTAATGGGGGTACACACACAGGGAAACTGAGTCACCAGTGTTGCTGTATTGTGAGTGAACTACGGTCTGAACCACCAGTCTCAAAGTTCTGATAGGTCATCCATGGTGCTTCCAAAATCATGTCAAGGGAGCTAGGGAAGGGGAGACTCGACCCTGTCCCTCTCCGGCTCCAGCTGTTCAGGCTCCAGAAGGGCCCGAGAGTGAGTCCTGGGCCACAATGCAAGGTGTCCATCAAGTTGGCTACAGGACCGATGAGTAGTGACATGGATGTGCCCTCATGTGACTCTGCACTCCAGACCCCTGAAGGTTGGTTTTATCACATTTCCACGCGTGGCCATGGTTCTCACACCTTTTGATAGGTGTGAGATCCTTTGAAGGACAGAGTCTACTTTCTAGGGGTAAACTGCATATCCACATTCCTCAGAGTGAAGTCACAAGCCCTGGACTCAAATCTGTAAATATGGTGTCCTGTCGACTGTCAAAGATGCTCAGACTGGCAGGGTGGCAGTGGATGGGCCATTCTGAGTAGATGCGTGTTTGCTGGAATCCAGGGTCTGCAGACAGCATGGGGAATGGTAACAGTGACAGCCCTGGAGGGCCAGGCTGGACTTGGTCCTGGCTCTGTGGCTCTGTGATTGTGGGTTGCTTGCTTGGTCTCCTTGAAGATGCAAGGTGGAGAAGAGAGCTCTCTCCATGGCTGAACCCTCCATGGACCCTCCGAAGGACTGTGCCCTGGATAAAATGTGAACACCTGACTATGCCTGCTGCATGGGAGCCCTCGGTGGTTTCTTCCACCATACAGCCATCTCTGGGACTGCACGAAGCTGCACCATTGCCTGTCCCCCTCTGCCACCTCACCCCTTTCCTGTCCTCCTCTTTAGGCAGATGGACCTCTGCTCTAGACCTTAGACCAGCCCCTCCACCCCAGGACCTCTGTCTTTCCATATTCCACCCTGCCTGGCCTTTCTTAGATCTTCCTGAGCCATATGTCACTGTCACCTCCCCAGGGAACCTTCCCCTGGCCACTGCTAAAGTTAAGCCACATCACTGTGGGCTTTTGCTCCAACATGACCACCATGGTGAGGACAGCCCTGGCTGCTACACAGTCGCTGGGTGCTATAGAATGAAAAAACCCAGCCTGGCAACACGCACTCTGGCCTTTGTTCTCCCAGCGCGCAGGACTTGTGTCTCGGGGAGTCCCCTTGCATTACACACCCTGTGTTGTCTGGAGAAGGCCATGCACAGATCTGATTGGCAGAACCTCAGACGTTCCCAGCCAAGTGCAGATGGCCTGGATTGCCATGGGACTGAGGCTCAATACACATCCTACAATGGCACAGGGCAGTCTCTCAAGAATCATCCCACCCCAATGTCAGCAATGTTGCCGCTGAGGAACTCAGGGCTGCAGGCTGCTCAAATTGGGAGCCACCATGCACCTGAGGAAAAGAAGTTAAGGAAGATAGAAGACAGCCAGGGAGAAGGAGCTCCTGTGATCTCATGAGCAAGGAGCAGCAGGGAGAAACCTGAGGCATAGAGGCCCAAGCTGTGACTCTGCGACCTGGTAGCTGGGTGACCAAGTGACCTCTCTGGGCATCCATTTTCTTAACTAGGGATTTGACTGCCAATGCCTGCCTTGCTCAGTAACTCTGAAGATTAAGCTGGAAACAATCCCTAAAAATAAATAAAAAATAAATCAGTACTGGCAACACTGCTAACACAATAGAGATGGCTCCCCGTTTGCCATGGTTTGATGTATGTCTGGATTTTACAAAGTTTGAAAATGGCCCATGTGCAGCAATGTACTTTCAGTTTTGAGATTTATCTTTCCCTGGACCAGTGGTACCCGGCCCTCTCAGCAGCTGCTCAGGTTTAGGCTAAGGCCAGAGTCAGCCATCGAGGGTGGACGAGGCTGAGCTCTGATGCGCAGTAGGTGAGACGAATCCAATACCGTTTGACTTAGGAAGTTTTCATTTTGGAGTCGGTTTTGTTGAATTTCTACAAACCCACTGTCCAGTGAAGCGCGTCTGTATGCCCTTGGCTCCCAGTTCAGATATGTCCACATAGTGCTCACTCGGTGTTGGTCACAGCCTGGTGAGTATAGAACCCTAAAGGATGACAAATGTCTCCCTTGGATGGACAGGGCCACAGGGACGCTTCTCACACAGCACTCAGAGCCAAGGGAGGTCATGTTGCAGTCCCACAGGCCGCCAGGTTTACCAAGGCACCGTACCATACCAGCTCACAGGGAAAGACGCAAGGGCACAATGAGGACCCTGGGTGACTAACTCTGCCCTGCCCTCTACCGCAGGTGGCATCCCCTTCATCCTGACTGGTGAGTTATTCCAGCAATCGCAGCGGCCGGCTGCCTTCACCATCGCGGGCACCGTCAACTGGCTCTCCAACTTCGCGGTGGGGCTCCTCTTCCCATTCATCCAGGTAGGACCGGCGGGGTCTCTGCCATCTCTGCCATAGGAGCACCTGGGAGACCGCAGGGCAGAAGTGATCTCTCTCCCTCGTCTCTTGACTCATGCTATTGTCCTAAGGAAGGAAGAAACTGCCCTAAAAATGCCCTTTCTGTTCTGAAGCTATGCCCACAGAAACTGAGGCTGAATCTCAACTACTTCTTACATGCAAATTAATCTCATTTTTGTAATATGTTGGTTGAATTCCACATGGTAATTACAGTGCACTCTAATTACAGTGCCCCGTCACCCACTGAACCTCCTTCTTGTCGCCAGCATAGATGCAGCCAATGGGCTCATGGCCCCAAGGTTGACAGTGATTGGCACGAAGATGCCCACATACTCAGGAATTGGACCCAAGTTCTTGTTGTGTAAAGAATCTGCTCACTCACTGGCTCATGAGCTCACATGTGCTTACTGAGCTTCTGTTGTGTGCCAGGCCCTGTTTTGGGCAGGCAGTGGGGACCGAGTGGGAGCAGAGCGTGTGTTTGATGTGCTGAGCTGAGGGGTACAATGGGGACAGATGTGCTGGGGGGGTCTACAAAGGCCTCTCCAAGGGGGTGACACTGGAACAGAAATGTGAGACAACCGAAGGAGCAGGGAAGCCTGGGAACGACAAAGTCCAGGACAGAAACAGCAGGCAGTGTGGCTGGAACAGAAAGACAATCTAGGGAGAAGATGAGAATTGCAAGTTTCCCAGGGCGAGGGCTTTGCAAGGCTTCCACGTGGCAGGGTTTTCCTAGGGTGGGCAGAGCCTCCTGTAGTAGCAGCCTTCCCATGCTGGGACAGAATGGAGACCAGACACCCCAAAAATCAAAGGAGGCGAGGTTTATCTTGGCTCACAGTTTCAGGGGGTTCAGTGTATGGCAGGCTGGCTCCCAGGCAGAAATGGCAGGGTGGAAGAGTGTGACAGACGAAAGCTGCTCCTGTCCTGGGACCCAGGTGGCAGGGAAACAAGGGAAGGGCTGGGGCAGTGTGCACCCTCCCAGGGTGCGTCCTCAGAACCTCCTCCAACCAGCCCCTGCCTCCTACAACACTCTCAGCCTCCCCATGATCCAGTCACGTTCCAAACACCTGAGACCTTGGGGAACATTTTAAACCTAAACCACAACACTTCCCTCCTCAAGAGCCCATCAGAGCTACCACTGCCCATGGCATGAGGTGATGCCACTGGAGAAGTTGAGGCCCTCTCAGGTCTCTCAAGGAGCATCCAGATCCACTCCCAGGGCCACTGCAGCCTCCTCTCCTGACCAACTCCTCAGAGACTTTATTCTCGGCCCACCCCATAATTTACTGGTGCCCATCCCAGCACATGGCAGAGAAGGCCATGGCCCCTAGCACACCATGCCCCTGGGGCTCTTGTCACAGCCTGCAGGGTGGCTGCTCCTTGGGGCCAGGTCTGTGTGACTTTCTGTGTCCACATCACCCCCACACCCTGAACGGCCTCCACAAACAGCATGGCTGAGGCTGAGGAGTAGGGAGGTCACCTAGGCCCCACATGAGCCCAAAGGCCAGTTCCTCTGTCCCCCACTGCACCCTGTGTGCCACTCAATACAGCCTCCTTGATCCAGCAGGTAGAAAGTAGATGGCATGCAACCTTCAAAGCCTTTTCAGCAGGTCAGGGTATGGGGAGCATGACCCAGCCACCATCTCCATTCCTACCCAGGCTGGCTGTAAGCAGTGCTGACCTGCGCCTTACACCCCACACTGTCAGTGCTAGGAGGAAAAGCCTCCATGGGTCCCCTTGACAGAGGAGGGGATGAGCAGCACCCAAGCCCCACATCTGGCTGCAGAACAGGTTGGTGCCTGACCAGGGTGCAGGCTGGTGGATGGGCATAGGGGGCTGGGAACCATGAGCTCTGCAGGGCTCAGCACAGCAAGGTGGAACCACAGGGTTGAGGGATGAGGAGTACACACATCCCGCGGGTGCTGTAACAGACAATACAACCTTTGTTCTGTGGCTCAGATACAGTGTGTTCCCTCCAGAACTTATGCTGGAATCCAGTGCCCAAGTAGTAAAGCTCACAGACAGTACAGTTTTCCCCAGTGTTTGGGTCAGAGATTGGTGCCATTCTTGAGGGAGTTCGTTCTCATAGGAGGGAGTTGGTTCTCTCGAGAGCAGGTGGTTGCGGTAGTAAATTCAGCTTCCTGAGCTCCCTCCAGGCCACGACTCCATGACAGCGACTTTCTCAAAATATCAGGGCTGGGTGTCCTTGGGGACCATTTTACAGCTGCCTGCAGAAGTGAGAGGATGTGCGGCTGCCTGGAAGCCAGTGCCTCGACTTTTGTCCCCAGATGTGCACAGGGCGTGGGGCTGCAGTGACCATTCACCTCCTAACTCAGTCCCGCTACGAATCACTTTGCATGCCCGGCTGTCATGGGTGGTGTTTACTATTTTTGGATGAATGTTGGATAGGGCTAGTGGGCCTAGTGAGGCTTTCGATCCTGTCTGGGGACTCTAAGGTAAAAGATTAATGTCTGGCTTCCTGGATTCCCATCACAAGATTCTGGGTCAAGGGGGAGGGGGCAGTGTGTTTTAAAGGCCAGCAGAGGATCCCAATGCACTGAGAACTCACAGGTACTGGGGAAACGGCGAAGGGTAAATTTCGGGAAGACCCTTCCGGGGCCTCAGAGGGGGCAGGATCACAAGCAGGGAGACCTGGCAACTGGGATTATCTGTCATTTCTGAGAGATGGGGGAGATGGCCATGTAGGGCTCCATCAGGAGCAGAAAATGATGGAACAGGGTGGAGGGGATGGAGAGGACCTCATTCCAGACACCCCTGGGCCCAGACTGGCAGCTCACAGCACCCTGGACACCCTTGGCCTCTGCGAACATGACCTGGCATCTCCCATCTTCAGAATTTGCTCTCAAGTTGAGCTCATGGCACAGAGCCCTCTGCACTGGTCCACGGAAAGATTTTCACATTTAAACGAGGCCACCATGTCATCCGGAAGGAGAATTCGGACTTCGCTGGCAAGAGAGGGCTCTGGGAGAAGTCATGTGCCAGCCACAGCGTCTCCTCCACAGGTCGGACCTTCCCACCCAGCTTGTTTCCCCCAGCCCTTTTATAGTTGTCCCACTTAGCAGACACAGTGCTCGACGGTTTATTCCCAGGAGCATGGGCATGGATACAGTACACTTAGCAGGTCAGAGGCCAGCAGCAGAGGGTGTTCCAAAAGACCAACTCCTTCTCGTGTTTCATAGTGTGGGTACTTTATAGGTCAGCTATCTCTAAACATGTGTATGCATAGAACTATTTTTATAAGCAAAAATTTTGCCTGTTTGTTGTGGGACTGGTGAAGGAAGCTAGGGCCTTGTACAGACAAAGCAGGTGCTCTACCCCAGAGCTGCGCCTCTAACCTGCTTTTAAACTTAAAAAGGAAAGAAGGCTGAGGGTAGAATGATTTCCTAGCATCAGCTAAGCCATGAGTTCAACCCCTAGTCCAGCAAAATAGGTAGACAGGTGACAGACAGACAGATAGATGTAAATAGATACATAGGGACCCACACAGATGACACACAGCCAGGCAGAGAAGAGTGCTTCAGGGACATGAGTCACACATGAGACCGAGCGTTGGTAAGAGACCATCGTAGGCAAAAGGAAAGAGTGGGGATGGAGGAGAAAGGAGGGAACAAACCAGAAAGGAGCCTGGCACGGTCTGGAAGCAGCAGGACCCAAAGGGAGGAGCCGGATCAGCTCCACCCTGTGCACTTGGGGCTGCAGTGGGATGGGTGGGCAAAAGGAGAAACAGTTACAATGGCTAAATCTTGGAATCAGCCCATGCGTCCACCAGCAGATGAATGAATAAAGAAAATGTGGTGTCTGTTTACTTTTCTCTCATTGCTCAGACAAAATACCCAACATCCAAGGTTAAAGGAGGGAAGGTTTATTTAATTCACAGTTTGTAGAAGTTTCAGCCCATCACTGACTGGCTCCAGGGCGGGTGGCACATGGCAGAGGCCAATAGTTTATGGCACTGCGAGAGACAGCAAAACAACAAAAGAAAAAGGTGGGAAGAGTCTACTCTTTCTTTCTACTTCTTTTATCCAGACTGCTGGGATTAGGGCGGTGCCAGACAATCAGCGGACTGCTTCAGCAATCACCCAATCACCTTAACCCCAGCATTTAACCGCCAAGCAGTCACAAACTCCAGATTCAGCTACCTCTGCAAAAGCCTGATCTAAAAGTGCATAAGGCTTTAGGGAACACTTAGACACAAAACATGTGGGATTTACACACCAATGACTGCCACTCTGCCACAACCAAGGGTAAATGTGAGTCATTTATAGGGAGATGGACGTACCTGGAGGCCATAAAATTAAGTGAGATAAATCACACACAGACTTATCGCATGATTTATCCTTATATGAGAAACCCAAAACATAAATAAAGAGCAAAATAAAAGATAGATAATAGGGGCAGCGAGATAGATCTTTCTCAGAGGGGAGACAGATTAAGGGATGGAGGGGCATTAAGGGAGGGGAGGGAAAGGGGCTGGAAAAAAGGAATAAATACATGTCCTATACTGGACCAACTCCACACAAGGAATGTAAACATTATGTACCGCAAAGGTTTACTAGTAAAAATAACATATTCAAAACATTTTTATAGAGAAAGCACTACACACATCTGCTGATGCCATTGCATGGAGAGCCTGAGAGCAGCTTGCGTCCTTATCCCAGTGACACCAAAGCCCCCTGAGGGAGGGGTCCAGACTCCACAGTTGAGGTTTGTGAACCCTGACACGATCCTGGCTGGGTCCCTTCATTCAGCTCCTGGGAGGAGCACCTAGGTCCCTTTCCCATGACTGGAACCAAAGGCCTGACACCTGCAACGTGAAGGAGGAGAGATTTCTTCTGACTCGGGGTCTCAGGCTCTAGTTGCTGACTGCCTGGCAGAAAGAGGATGGCAGGGAGAGACAGAGGGAGAGACAGGTTTATTTATCCAGACTGCTGGGATTAGGGCGGGAG